TTTAGTTTGGTAGAGATAAACATAAGGCATCGTTTGTTGAAGTATCAGAGCTCAAGAAGCAAGAATCAGAGCATAAACTGCTGCTATACACATGTATATTACAAGATACAAACCTGCAGCTTTTTTTTTGTTTATAAACTTTCCGTATACTAAAGTTCTTCTGTAAACTGCACCAGTATCCCTTTAACTCCTATAAACATGGTATATGGTATACTTTGTTCATATTTTTTAGTTACTCAATAGCTTAAATAATTAAACTTTCCTCTCTCTCCTTTTCTTCCTTCCCCCTCTCTCTACAGTCTGTTCAATGTACTAGCTGACAGGAAGTCAAAAGGTGGTCTAACTGGTATTGTGTTAGTTAATGGACGGCCACAAGCAAAATACTTCAAGTGTATGAGTGGATACGTTGTACAGGTACACCTTAGTCACATGACCATCACATGATACTGTATATACATGTACATGTAGTTTCATTAAAATTGTTTAATTAAATGAGTAATGGGCCACAAATTTTTCCAACATTAAAAAGAGAGAGAATTCTCCATTCTATATAGTTCCTTCACAAGTTTTAATGTTGTGTAGAAATTTGAGTTGATTCTAATCAAAATTAATTTTTTACAAAATTTTAAAGTTACTCAAAAATCAGGCCAAAGTCCCTGTAAATTTTGCCAAAAAATAAAAAGGAGTGAATCTTTATTTTAATAATTTCTCTGTTACGTATACATGTTCTTATGTTGTGTAGAAAGTTTGAGCCAATTCCGATCATAATTAAATTTTTTATAAATTTTAAAAGTAGCCATGTACTATAATGATAGTGCTTGTCAGCTTGTGCTGTTTAGATCACTTAGCATACTTTGAGGGAAGCAATGTACCTGTCCTAATTATAGAGGTGTCCTTATATTTTAATCATTCTTAATTATATTCATCATTGTATATTTTTATAATTTACATTCTCTTTAAAGGATGATGTCATCATGGGTACTCTCTCTGTCCATGAGAACTTGTACTTCTCAGCTGCTCTGAGGCTACCGAACAGCATGAAGTGGGCGAAGAAGAGACGACTAGAAAAAGTTATCGGAGAGCTAGGACTAAGTGGATGTGCTGATACTAAAGTAATGAAAAGAGAAAGAAGAGACAGAGAGAGAAAGAAGAGACAGAGAGAGAAAGAAGATTTCTAAATGATTAAGTGTTTTACCACAAAATTTGCTATAAAAGCCACGAATTGCAATAGATGCTACTAAAGTTTAGATGTACAAAATTATTGGTTATAGCATGTTAAAATTATGCATCTTGAAAATCAATGCAGAGCCTGAAATTACATTTAAACAGTGTTCTGACACTATGTCCGAACGCAGCCTATTTTGGCCTGACATTTGAATGAAATGATCGGACACGTTCATTTATCCTTTTTATATCTCAATGTGTGTGCTTGTTAGTTAGTGTTTAATTCAAAATTTTTTTGTAATTTAAAGAAACTTACAAAAGCATAACCATTAATTTAGTAATAATACTAATAAAAATTTTGTGTTGTTTACTAATGTTCAGACAAAATGGTAGAACAACACGGCAGTTGGTCGGACAATTAAGCAAAATGGTCGGAAAATGTCTGATGTCCGACTGTAATTTCAGGCTCTGCAATGTCATGTTTACAGACCATGCTACAATACATAAGTTAAATGTCATTATTCAATGTACATGTACTGTACAAGATGATTTATTGGCGAGGAATTAATATTGGCATTTTGCAGTTCTATAAAGAAATCGCCAATATAAAATCCGCCAATAACTTTTTACAGGAAAATTCGCCAAATATTACTCTCACCAATAAATCATCTTGTACAGTATTTATTGTAAACTCCACATGTACATGTATACAGGTTGGTACTGAGCAGACATTGCACGTCTACTGGAATTTTCGTGTACTTGTATTTACTTGTATTTTGAAAAAAGCAGGTCGTGTATGTACTTGTATTTATTGGCAAATTTTCGTGTATGTACATTTACTTATTGCTTCCCAAATTCATCTATATTTTGGTAATTTTTCGTTTACTTTTCATGTATCCTGTACTTAAATGTTGAATCATTGAAAGGCTAATGTCTTCATCACCTTTTCTATTGCTGTTTTTATCATCTGCTATTGCTAGAAGGACTAAAAAGACCATCAAAGATCCGTGGTTAAGGAAACTAACTGCCATTTTGACTGCTACGTGGACACACCCTTTAATTATTAATAGTTAATATAAATACATGAAAATCGTCTCCTTAAACTCCTTCTACTTATTTTTGGTTCATGTATATACTTGTATGTACTAGAAGACCTGTTTTTCGTCTAAATACTCGTGTATCGTGTATACACGTGCAATGTCTGGTACTGAGTTCATTTGTGGTGTCAGTGGAGGAGAGAGGAAGAGGACTAACATTGGTATGGAGCTGATAATAGAACCACAAGTATTGTTCCTTGATGAACCAACCACTGGACTGGATGCATTCACTGCTGTAGCTGTAGTACAACTGCTTAGGAAGTAAAATTAATTATTATACTGTATTAAGATTAGTATTTATTAATTTATTTATTAAATTTATTAAATCATGTACCGTATAGTGCAAGTATTTATTTATCTACCGTATTTCCTCGTGGAAACGCCTAGGCATTTATTTCTTATAGAGACCCGTTTGCCAGGCGTTTAAATGAAGTAGGCGTTTATACGAGGTGGGCGTTTATAACCAAAAATAATCCTTAGCACCATGTTTCAATAGACACAACGCGTAGTTTAAAACTGATATATTCACTGTTATACATATACATTGATTAATCTCACTTCCTAAATGCAGTTAGATCTCTTCATACTTAGCAATAATATTATCTCAAACGAAATGAAAAAGAAGTTCGAGTCAACGACTATAATCCTTTACTGCTGAAATTGTGGCGTGCAAATGTTTTAAAAAGATGGACCTCCC